AGGGGGGGGGGTGCAATCACCACACTGCATTTTATACAAAAGATAAAGCGAGGAATGTGAAACTGGCTCGTGACAGGGACAGCCATGCAGTCACAGAGGACCCACACGTCCACCACCAGAGGAAGCGCTGACACGACAGTTTCTCATCTCCAACAACTTCAAGATATGTAAGTTTTGTTAAGTGGAACGAAGTCAAGATTTGCCTTTTTTAAAGTTTTACGCAATGCACAATACTCCTAAAAAAAACTACCTTTGTTCAAGACTTCCTTCTTGGCTAATATGTCATAGGAATTGCCAGAAGGCCAACACAAAACTTCTGAAGCCTGCAACCTAGCCGCCTCACATGTTTTACGTCTCCATAGAAACAGTTTAGACACTTAGGAGGCGAGCTGCTTCGACCGTACTTGTCGCAGGACCAACCCGAGGTTAGTGGGACGAGGGACCCTTACAAACAGACAGAGACACACGATTACAATATTATAGCTTCATTGTGAGGAATCGAGCTCACAGTACACCATCGGCGCGCAGAGGTGAAGAACCTACCCATTGCAAATACATGTAACTCAAAGAAAAGGTATACGTTTTTTCGTTTTTTTGTGACAAAGGCTCGCATTAATTCAAAGCCAATTAAAGAAAAGCAAGATATGGGGATAGAAAAGTTGTCGGGTGAACGTGTGGCGCCCTCAAAATTAGCTAGATGAAGACACGAACACAAAGCAGTAGGACAATGCCCACTCCAGACTCTCTCCTTTATCTCCAATACTTTTTCACCTCTTCATAAAACTGCGGTCCCTGTCGCAGTATCTCAAAACTTGAGAACTCGACACTGGCATAAATATCTGTCTCTACGAAAAGGGCAATAGAGCTACCAAGAAACTCTGAACCTTTTGTGAACGAAACACGTGTGACCTCAAAACACTGTCTATTGATAAAGATGACAGACAAGGCGAAAACTGGAAAAACCCAGATCCATCCAGTCAGACGATAGGTTGAAAAACAGGACACTGGTTGTTTAGTCATTGTTGCACATCGTACGCTTGACGTTGTGAAATAGGAACCTCGAGATATATTTGTCAGAGGAGTGGAACTCGCGGGGGTTCCTTCTAGCGCGCATGAATAATCTTAATCTGCTGCTTCAACTTTTCAATGATGCTTTGTTCCAATAGGTGGTTCTCGTGGAGTGGTGACCCGTGATTTACAATAAATGTAATTTAATAATGTGACTTTAGTTTTAGCAGGAGTTTTACGGCACAAATAAGCTATAAAAGTTCCGAAGATCAGATGTATTACTGGAGGGTAACGAAACTAGAAAAGAAGGAAGAGAGACAAGGGCGAACGAATGTTTGATAGAAAAAAAGGTGAACCCCACAGCAGAGTGCCCGCTAACCACCCATATAACGTATCTTTGTATCTTGATGCGTAGATCATTTTATACTATATTCATTGTATCGCAACGATGCGTAGATCATTTATCATGGGGCTTCCTGCTTCACCCCGTACGCCAAGGCTAACATGGAGTAGGGTATAACATCACAGCTACTAAAGGACTTTATTAACGCCATACACTATATAATAAGGACTTAATCGAAATCGCGTCTTTTGCGCGCACGCCATGGAAAAAACTCCTTACCATTATACAACACAAGCACCGGAACTAAACATGTTGTGACTTTTCACTTTTTGTCAATTTATTAGTACCACAGTCCGGATCTTCATTGGCAAAGACATTTTGTTTACAAAAAAAACCACAACCGGAACTACACTGCTTAACTATTAACGGCCATATCTGTGGATCAGTGACGAGTCACTGTCGACATAGAATTTAACCGCGACGTTTTGATTGTTTTCGGCTTAGCCTACTTGTCAAAAAGTCGTCCAGCCCAGTACTCCAATTTAATAACAACAACAGGTGCTGGTACGTCCCAAGTAAGACACAGAACATTCCCTCTCCTCTCCCCGGGAGACAGCAAGGCTCACCACACGGAGATAAATGACCGGCCGTTATCACAATCAGGACACACTGCTTTCAGCGTCTCGGAACCTACCGGACAACAAATGACCACTGGAGTACGTGCACTCAAGCTATCCGACAGGGTCAAAGGTTCGGGGTGTTCGACTTGTTTCACAGAATGTCACACCGGATTCTGTGGTGTAGTGGTCAGGCGCTTCGATGTCGCGCACGAAAGACCCAAGTTCGATCCCCATAGTGCAAACATGTTATCAAGTACAATTTATCTCGGTCTTTCTGCTGGGAGGTTGTACAATAACAACATCTTCACTGTTTTCTTATTATTTTGGTTGGAAGTACAAGCATGCAGCTCGAAACCTTTTTTCTTTTCAGTTTCTTTTTACATATGAAAATGGTAACGTATGCATAATTTCAACCAATCTTACCTATTCCCCAGGTGGAAATGGTAACGTATGCATAATTTCAACCAATCTTACCTATTCCCCAGGTGGAAATGGTAACGTATGCATAATTTCAACCTTGCTTGCCTTCACAAAATAGGGGAAAGGGAATACTATAGGCCTGCGACTTGTGAGAATTAAGTCTAGACGTTATAATATGTATTATTACTCTTCTCCCCCACGACAACACACTGGGGCAGTTGGAGATAAGACATGTTTGCGACTCCTGAGGTCGAGGGGAAGCGAGAGTCAGAGCAGGGTCTCCTGTTTGTCTCTTTCTTTGTTTTATTGTAAAGCTTGTGTCGTTATAATGCAAGGCTATGCTTATCATTAGCAAAGCTTTTCTGTGAGTTTTTTTCGG